TGTTTGTCAATTACTTCAAGAAACAACTTGTACCATATGTCAAGACAATCATCCACATCATCAAGAGTATCAATGACAGTCCAAGGGACATGAGATAGATCATCTAAGAAGCTCACCTCACTAAAATGTTTGTAGCATCGATATTTTATTTTGGTATGCTATTACGCTCATTCAATCAATGAAATAAAACCACACTGAAATTTTCCAGATTAGATAACTGGAAATAGCTTTAAACAAGTAAGACTGAAAAGTCTACATTATAGCTTGTCAGTAATCCGGAAGGTTTCCCTATTGAAGAAAAAAAGATGTGTACTAATAACGCAGTGCTTTCGTATAGTTTCGTTTTTTTTCCAACTCTATTAATCATAACTGAAAAGCATTGTTTAATTCTCTAAAGTTCTCAATCTGTTTTCGTCATTTTCTAGCTGTTTCAAGTATCCCTCAATCTTTTCTAAAGCCTGTGCTGTTTTTACTGCTGCTTTATAATTCCTTGTTTTAGCATCTCTTATTTTCCTGTCCGCTTCTATTTCGTCTTCTATTTCCATTTCGGTGTCATCACTTAACTCCTTCTCTGTAGACTTCAGCTCGTCTAGTACGCTACCCGCAACCTTGGACATACTGTTTTCTATTTCTGCTTTACTATTATAACTAGTGTTTGCTTTATCCAGAGCAAGTAATCTAGCACCATCCATTTTCGTGATGACGCTATTTATTGCCAGTATTTTTTGGTAGGTGTTGTTTTTCTGGGCAGATAGATCAGGCAGTTTGTCTTTCAGCTTTTTTGCAAAGTTCCTTGTTTCGTTTGCACCGATTTTTTCTTCGATATTATTCAGGGCTGCTGCAGCTTCTACAAATATAAGCAAAAGCAAAAAATGACCACATTGATTCAAAATAATACGTATGATGCACGTTATGGAGCTTTGAAAAGATGACGGATGACAGAACACCTTCGTCCTGATTGACTGAAGACCAATTCACTTAGGGCGCAATTTCTTTGGTGCACAGGCTTCATATCTTGTCAATATCTAGACTGCGAGCAGTCCCTGTATTTTCCTTGGTCACTGTATGGTGCTCGCTTTGGTTGATTTGGCATTGCGAGTAGGTAATAGCTCCTTTCATCCCTCATTCCCCACACCCCTCCCCTGGAGACATAAGCTACCAAACCTCGCTCGGCAAAATTGACCACAGCCGGCAAACATCAAACAGTGACTATTGGAAATACCGAGACTGTTCGCAGTGTAGCCAATATTTTAAACAAAGTTCCAGTCCAGACGTCGAACTTTTGTCGCTTCGACTTTGGAATTCAATTAACAAATTGACATCGGATTTTTATTGTCAAAGTAGTGTGGACCAACAAGGCGTAGCCGAGTGGAACCACACTACTTTGACAATGTGATGACGAAATTTATTGTCAATAAGAGGACAGACACATAAAAAACTGATGTCTATTTGTTTTTTTACAATAACAAAAACGATATCATAAAAACTTCTCATTTTTAGTGATCAAAACAACTAACGGAAAGAGCGCGCGCTCGTTGACGTCAGCTTTATCTGTCTGTCCTCTTATTGATGATGAAAATTAACCAATCTGCGCGCGAGAAATTTGTAAGTTATTGTAAAAAGGTACATTTCGTACATGACAAGTGCGACGTTGAATTGAAAGAAGAAGAAAATCAACTAAGCCAATTGCACGCACCGACCAAAGATCTGCGTTATGATATTGATAATAATCTTTATTTTAAGTGGATATAAAATACGACGTTTAATGGCTGGTTTCCCATTTGGCCCACAAATGTACCGTTGATATAAGTTTCAGAATTCGAATTTCATCGCGTCAAATGCAATGATGTATGAATTATAGAAGCTCAATATTACAGAGGTTATGGATATAAACGTCCTAGTGCTTTAGCTATGTTGAATCAGTTGAATGGATTTCAGTCGACCTCTGATCAAAGGCAATTAAATTCGACGCGGTAAAAGTTCGACTTCTGCACTAGACCTAAGAGTTGTTTGAACTAAGAACCCATTAAGTCATTAAGGTGGAAAACTAGTGAAAGCTAGTGTAAACTGCGTCGGTGTTTTCAGTAAAACAGTTGATAGATAGATAATTTGTAACACCGTATGGTACGTAAAAATGAAACTGACGTTTCGGACGTTAGTCCTTCATCGGAGTAAACGAGAGATGAATGTGGAAATGTGTATRTATAGTGAGCGTGGATGATAAATAACCAATGAGAGATAAGTATAAGGGAAAACAAAAGGAAACAAGAGGATCGAAAGTAACAATAGACTAATTAAACGAGAAGCGTTCCTTCATGCGTTAAGTCATTACTTTTAGAGACCATTGTACTTAATAGTTAGTTTCACAGTTCCATRCGCCATATTGCAAGGTAGCCGTGCCTTTGCATCGAAGCGAGACGAACGATGAGCTTGTATTGATAGACAATTATTCACATGTCTCTATCATTGAAAGCTCACCGTTATGACCGTTTGTCTCGTTTACCTTTCAAGATGGCTCAGGGAACTGTGAATTAAATGGGCTCTTTAATAGTCCTAGTGCAGGAGGCTTAAAGGTTCAATCTGGCTCAGTCTAGTATATACTAATCATGTGAGCACTTGACAAATGTCTTTCTGTTCAGTATGTGGATATTAATTTGCCAATTGAAATTCATTTTAATTTTGAAGTTGTTTAGCCGGCCAATCTATATTTTGCATGTCATGATCCGTTGAAAAAAAATCTTTTACGTTATAATACACCCAAGCACATATAACTTAATTAAGCTTAATGCAATATCTGTCTAAGAAATGCCATACTTACTTTGTACCAGATCAAGTTTAGTTTTGGCTTGTTTAGCAGAAGAAGTGGCTAATTTCATCACGCTGAGTACCGAGTTATTAATCTTGTTGTCAATACTGGCTGTCAGTGTCTTTGCCATCGACATTGATTTCTGCAAAGTTTCGAATTTAGTGCTCAGTTCTTGCTCCATTTGTTCCAGTTCTTGGCTAACTCTATTATGTGCATTTAGGATTCTGTTATGCATTTCTTCGACTTTTGATTTCAATCCTTTGTTGATAATTATTTGTCTTTGAACGAGCGGTTTTTCGTTGTTTAATCTGACATCATTATTTATTTGCTTGATCTGTATTTTCTCGGCTTCTCTGTTGTTGCTTGGTTCTGTGTTTTTTTGTTTGGGAGGTTTTGCTCCCTCGCCTGTTAAAATGTACATCAAACGGTTATCATGTAACATGACATTATCATCTTCATCATCTATTATTTGCTGCAGCTTCATACTGCCATCGTTGTTGCTGTCGCTTTTTTTGCTGTTGTTGATTTTGCTACTGTTGTTGTTGTTGTTGTCGACGTATTTACTACTATTGCTGTTACTGTCGCTGTTGTTGCTGTTGCTTTTGTTGTTATTGTCACTCATTTCAGTGTCTGAATCAACATAGTCAGCCATTTCTTTTTTCTTTTCTTTGTTCAGGGATTCACTTTCTTTTTTTCCAACATTTGCATTTATTCTTTTGCTTACCTCTTGTTCTTTGTCTTTTATTTCTGTAAATATTGGTAGATTTGTGTCATCGGAAACAACATCTATATCTACACCAACATCGTCAGTACTTTTCTTTCCCTGATTGCTCTCCGTTGAATCAGTATTTATAGCATTCCTTTCTTTTTCTCTGTATTTTTCAATTTGTAGTTCTGCATTGTGCTCCTCTGGAATGTCAACCTCAATCTTGCTTTTACTCTTTTTCCTAAACTGCTTTTGTTTGCTCTCCATCAAATCTTCGTTTTCCATGTCATCTTCAAGTCTTTCGCTGTTGTGCTTTTCGTTTTTATTTTGCGTCTGTTTTCGGTCTATTTGATCTGCTGATAGTTTCACAGGTTCCCGTAAGCTCATTGCACTTTGATCATCTTTAGTTTTGTTTATTATGTTGTTGTCCATCAAAATGTTGCTTGTATCATTGTCACTATTAGATGGTAAACTAATCTTACCCTTCGTCTCAAAATGTTTGCCCTCAGTTATTTTCCATTCTTTGCTATCATTGGTTTTCTTTGACTTGGTTAAGCCGTCGTTGTTCTTGTTTTGGTTTGTGATGTCATCTTGCTTCTCGTAAAATGCTACTTCTGTTATTTCGTCATCATTCCCTGAGTTTCCACCAGCGTTTATGGTTCTCTGTTTCTTAATAATTCGGTCATCTTTAGATTTGGACATCTTTCTCCTCTGTCCGGAATCATTGCCATCTACACCTTCATTACCGCTTTGTTCAAGAGTACTTGGTTTTAAGTGATTGTTACCATTTTGCTTATCTGTTTTCGAAAATTCCTCGAATAACAATTGAACCTCTTTTTCCTTTTCATCGTTTTTTCGATTCAGCTGTCCCAATCTACTTTCCTTGTTTACTTCAATTTTCTGTCTTTCAGGTCCTCCAAATTGTTCCTTTAGCTTTTTCTCTTCTTCTTCTATTGCTTTCTTCTGGAACTCCAATAGTTTTAGTTCATAATCGTCATCACTTTGATCCCTCTTCTCCTGCCTCGCGTTTTCAATATATGCATGCTTCTGTTGTACAGGCCTTCTTGTTTCCTGAGTTGACTTTTTTGGAATCTCATTTCGTGGATTTCTGACATCGTCTTGTTCCAACTTTCTGTTTGTCTCAATCGTTGTAGCACTTGCTAATCCAGCATGCTGGAAGAAGTTACTAAGCATATCCACTGCTGGCATTTCATCGATCGAACTAGATGATAGACCAGTCGAAGATGACTTTGGTAAAGGATTAAGTGACAGTATTTTTGACTTTAATGTAATTTCCAACGAAGAAAAACGATTTGTGTCACCATTGTCATTATTTAAAGGGATGCGTTTGGGTCGCTTAAGTGAAGATGGACTATAAGAATCAGTAAATACTTCTTGCTTTTTAGAATTTTTCGATTGTTTTGATAATAAAGGATTTCTTTTTGATTTTTCTGGAGACCTCAAAGAAGAAGATGCAGGATTAGTTGTATGGGCTTCTGAAAATGAAGATTTCATCTCTGATTCTTTCGGTGCGGACGTCAGCCGTTGTTCCACTGATGACGTTTTTAATGATTCTGGATTCCTTATTAGCCCATCGGTTTGCGTATTATGATCAGTCTTAGATTCAGATATTCGTTTCAGGGCTCTAAGACGACGGCGTTTCTTACGCTTCATTCTCATTCTCATTCGATGCTGCATTTCTTCATTTGGAGGTGAAGCTCCTGGCACTTCTTGGCTCAACAAGCCAAATTTAACTCCCGGCAAAATTACCGTGTGATGCTTTTTTCGGTTTAACTGAGAGTGGACCGTTGTTTCTTGGTGTCTGTTCTTATCAGTTTTTGGCGTTGATTGGCTTTCAATCGCAGTGTTATGCGTATCACTGCTGAATCTACTGTTTCCTCCAACTTTTGAATTCATTTTAGTTTCAGCTGCATCATCGTCACCTGGTTCGTCTAGGACATCTGAAAGACGTTTCTCTCTGATCAACGAGGGTAGTTCCTTTTCTAATGAGTTGAAACCTAATAGTAAGAATAAACATTAATTTACAAGATACGCTCCCATAGCAATTGAAGTAAGCTTATATCATATATATCATACTAAAGGCCTTAAATAATGATTGTCATCTATAGTCAATATCAATGGGCATGAGCTGTAAACCAAGATTTTGTAGCGATATTATAATCTTATAGAGTATTTTCACATGACGACACAGCCACCACATTGGTGTACCTTTGGCAATATTTTTTTCATTAGTTTCTCTTGATAGATACACCAATATGGCTGCCATTTTAATTGTCCGTTAACTGTTATGATCATGACACAGACAACACTGACAACTGAAAACCAAGAACGCAAGCTAATCCGGCTGTACATGAAACTTCTTTTCTATGTAAATAATTTTCACTGCACAAGTCCATTAAATCTTTTTGACAAAATCTTGACATGCCATTTTCAGCTGGTGTTTATAATCTCAATCACCTCGCGTCGCAATTCATTCAGTGTTTCCAAGTGGAATTAAAATCTTGTCCCACAAACAACTACACAGCATCTGTTTTAAAAAGTACTACAAGGACTACGAGGCAATTTTCTCTTATTTTTACAGAAGAGTAAATAATTGAAACAGTTATAGCTAATTTTCTGCGATCAGATCTTTAAGTCGTGAGATATTTTAGCCAATTTGTTGAGCTTGTTGGACATAGCAACGTTAACGAAGGGGAGTCGCAATATGAATCAGCCAGGGTGGTGAGGTTTTGTATATAGAGTGTATACCATATATGCGTGAAAAAATTAACTAACAAAATTATACCAACATAGTGCAAAGTTTTGTAGGTCTACGGTCTTTTGAGGTCTACTGAACTTACTAGTGAGCAATTTTGTGCAAAATATTTTCCCTACTAATTTTGATCACTTATTATTGAATTTCTTCTTACTTATTCCAGCCTAAGACTGACAAAAAATAGTTTATCAGTAATACATTTTTTTTCTTTTCTGAAACATTTAAACGGCCGTCGTTAAACTAAAGGAAAATGTACGGAGTAAGTGACAAACATCATTTTTCATGATAATATATTTTGTTGCATGTTTAGATCTTTCTCATTATCTTGATACTTTGTCTGTATAAGGTCTTAAGACTTAGTTTAAATATATCGCTGAACCATTCTGCTGCAGGTACCAGCAGATATGTTATTGTGACTTGAGTGAGTGACATCGGCAGGTTGAATGTTTTTTTTGTTTTTGCCGTTTTTTAACTAAGCGACACTTACTTTTTTAGATAATAGCTTTCTCATAACAAAATTTTGATCCAACAACACAAAAGGCGCATGTCATGTGCACTGAATTAAATCATTAGACTTTTACTATAGTTAATAATACGAACTATGCTTTTAAATATGGTTAGTTTACTATAGTAACTTTATTTGTTTACATGTGAGGTTAGTCGTATTTTGTTGTCCTACAGGAAACACTTTTTACTTTAAAATTGATTGATCTATATTTTCAGCCTGAACATAAGCACACGCAGTATATTATATAACTCATATATATAATTTTGCAGTTACCGTTTAATTTTAAAAACAATCATATGAATAATGTTAAGCCAAATATTGATAATTTGAATGATTCTCATGCTAATAATCATGTGAGTTTGAATTGAACGATAGTCGTTTGAATAATGAATATGAATAATGCTTAATACAATAATAGTATTAGTTCGGAAAATCGTAATATGAAAAGTATTCGTATTGTGCATAACATGCATACGATAAAGTAAAACTTACCTTCTACGACGTGAAGAAACACACTGGCTAAAAGAAGAGTCGAAACGGGTTTGGCCATGAACACCTCGAACAGATTCTTCAAATTGAAGCTTGCACAAAAAGAATTACCGTCTTCTCTGAGTAAGAACAAACACTCTCTCCCTGCCAGTAAGAATACGTATGTTTACTCGGTAGATAGCAGGTTTTTGTCTATTTCATGTGAGCAGCGTTAACTTATAATTGAATCAGGGTGGAGTGAAATAGGTTGGGCTAACATGGTGGTATTTGATCACCGCAGTTACTAAGGGCGGGGGCACGCTGTACATTTAACACGTCGTATGTCTTCATCACTTGCACATTAGCTGAAAAGGGATGAAACATGTTGGCAATTTTGACAGTTTGGAAATGTGTTTAAAACTATGTTTGGATGATGTGTCCAAAAGTGCCCTGGTATTGATGAGAATCTTGCTTTGTCACTGACTGACTTCTATAGATTCTGAAAAACGTTATTCTGGTGGTACTTTACGCTGAGATTCCCCGGGTAATGACATGTTTAGGTAAATAGACAAAACGAGGAATCCTGTTTATAGCTCCAGCTATACTAACCATGGCCACTTTTAATCTCATTTTAGAGATGTTTAGAAGCAAAATTTGTAAATAGAAGTAAAGTCAAGACTCAGTTGTCCTTCAAACGTTCGCGATGAATATATTTTGCAGATATTATTGCCCAAAACGTTATGCTTGTATAGTATATTAAGAATACTTAAATGAAATAGAATAAAATTTATTTCAAAAAAAGTAATTTGATAATCCACTGTCTTGCAATTGAAATTTAGCAGTTTATTTTTGCATAGGGAAGAAAACCGTACAAAAACCCTCAAACAGCACCGAAGAAAACCAACAAGCAACCCAAATTACTGGGCTAGCTACCAGTGACAGACTTGTCGTAGATTACCTTCTTTTTCTAATTCCTCCGCTAATGACAAAATAAAAAGTTCGGTTTACCTTTGAGTACATTTTAATTTACAAGAAGATTCTAAACAGGACATGAACATTATTCTGAATAAATGTATTTTTACTATTGTATTCATCATAGTGTCTTATAAATGAAGTGCCGTGACCTTTGCGTGACCGTGTCCGCGCCGTGCTTTTGCCGTTAGTTTTTCACAGTCATACGCTCTACTAAACTGCTCTACTAATAAGGAAGCAGTAAATCTCTGTGCACGTTTCTTTAATGTCATTGAAAAGAAAAATTTGACGTCAAACGCAGAAAATAAAGCATTGTGGGATTTTCAAAACTGAAGCCTAGTCTATAAGAAAAGGCTAATGCCCCTATAAGTATTAATGAGATAGCAAATATGTCGACCTTTACAATTTATGTTTTTTTCTATCAATTGTTCTCTTTAGGCCCACTCTTGTTTAGAACTATGATAGCAAATTCAGTATTTGAAATATCAAAGTAGAGTATTTGCTTATGTGAACGAGACGAAGCTTTTTGCTTGATTCAGTCCAAGAGAGGAGAATGGGCAATGTGCTCTACCTGTCTATCCAATTCGAAAATAATTGAATTGATAAAAGTTGTCTGTCTGCATGTACAATTACACTTGGCCTATCGGCCTTGTCCATGCAATTCTCGGATGGATATTTTTTTAGTTTAATTATTTCCAAATTGGACGACATGTAATCCTATTACCCATACTAATACCATGCTTGTACGGGATTATACCGCTCTGAATTGAAGAATCGTTGTCGGGTTCAGAAACATATTACATAAAAGCTGAGACCGAAATGGCACATGGGAAATGACATAATTATATTATAATGTATTTATTTGCAGTAATGTATTATCTATGCAGTCGGTTTAGAATACCAAACACGTATTGGAAACAGTGGATGATGCCATTGGTCGCCGGTCACACATGCATCTAATTAGCGTACTTCCCATGTGCCAATTCGGTCTCAGATTCTATGTTCTGTATGTTTCTGAACACGACAACGATTCTTCAATTGAGTGTATGTTGATAATTCATAATCACAAATGTAACTGTTTTATCGTTTGGCAACTCTAAGTGAACTGTGTACACAAGTACGTACTGCTCTTTCTTTGTTGTGGTAGTTCCATAACCAGGCAAATAACATTACTTAATACCAATAAAGTAGGTTTATAACTATTTGTTTACTTATTAGCACATTATGTAAGAAGTCACGTACCGTGCGTCGTTCTCTGGGAAGATATAATCTAGATATAGCGCTAACTATTAGAAGTATATTTACAAAAATATACGCAAGGGATCATCATCATCACCTGTTACGCCTCCAATTAGACTTTACAAATTTATTGGAACTTCTTTTATGTCGCTGTGAAACTTTTGTAATCCTTCTTCGATACTTTTTAAGAAACCTTTAGCTTTATTAATAGCAATTTGATTGTGTTTGACTGCCTCTTGTATCTTGCTTCTTGCTTCTTTTTCATCTTCAAGCTCCACTTGCTGTTCCTTGTCTAGCTGCTTCTCCGCAGAAGACATGTCACTTTTTATCTTTTGAACATCATTCCTAACAATAGCTTCTGCTTGCTTCATATTTTTCTCTTTGGCATCTACTTTGGCCTTTGCCAAGATCTTAGCTGCATCAAGAGTGGCAATCACGCCATTTTCATCCAATACCAGTTTTTGCAACTTGTTTTGTACACCAGCATCGTCTTTCTTTGCAATATGATTTCGGATTTTCTTGGCTTTATCTTGGACTTTCTTGACTCCAACTTTTTCTTCGATATCGCCCAATGCATTTGATGCCGCTTTGGTGATAGAAAAGTTAAAAAAAGTGTTATCAAAAGCTTGGTTTCCATTCCTTGCGTTTGTGCTTGCGCTGCTGTAGTTCCCAAATGTAATTTTGTTTGCGTTTTCTTTTGCGTTTGCATTGGCTTAATAGCAGACGTAGAYGGGGGTTTAGGGATAAAACATACATAACATAATATATATAATATAACATAAAACCAGTGAAGGCCTGAGATTTTGAGCTCCATTAGAGGCTCAATTTTCAAACAAAAAATGGGCGCACCATGGCGTTCTCAAACCACATTAGGCATACAAATTACTATAGATAACATTTTGGATGAACAGCTAAATCATTTAAAAGCATAGTTCATTGTTGATATATTTAACAAGCTGTCATTTATACTGAAATGCCTTATTTACTTATTGTGAATGAAATTATAGTCCCTTATGTGCTCAGGTTTTCAAGACAGAATTGTATTGCAGCTGCGTGTTGAAAATATAATATTTTGATGAAATTCATTTTACTGTATCCAAGAATGTGAAACCTACCAGTAACTTCTTGCATCTTTTCTTTGGCTCTTTTTGTTGCTTCCTCCAGGATTTCTGCTGTCTCCTTCACAGCTTTTTTGATTTTTTCGTTGATCAGTTTCGTTAGCTCCCTTGCTTTCTTCAGATTGGTTTCAAGACTTGCTTGTTCCTGTCCAAACTGGTCACGTATCTTGGTGAGATCAAGACCAGCTTGAACCACAGCAGTCAAGCTTTTCTTAGCAGCAGTTTTGATATCTGAGTTTAACACTTTCAAACATCTTTTGCAATGGACTGAAAAGAAGGCAAATGACAGACTATCATTTTCATCTCTTAAATGGCCCAACTGGACGACAAAAACAATAATAAATCATGTTTTGCTTAGAAAATAATGTCGTAGTTCAGAATCAAAGAACGAAACCGGTTAGTCTCACAAACGTCAACTTCCTCATTTACAAAACTAGATATATACTTAACGATAAATGCTACACATTAAGTAGCTACACTTATTTAGCAATTTAAAGTTAATATACTAATTATATTTGTTATTTGCATTTTTGCCAATATGTTAGTTGAAAAGTTTCATTTATAATAACTGTTAATATGTAAAGACAATATACAAGTGCATGGAGATTTGATTGGGGACCAATTTAACCCGTGTTGATATGCTTGATTGAATTCATGTCTGTCACATTYTTTCACAACACTGTGAAGATCTTACCTCGAGAAGAAGTGGGCGCTATTAACCCTAAAAAACACAGAATAAACACGAACGCAAGTATATTTCTCATTGCGGCCGAGTTTGAGATGAAAAAAACAGCCAAGATGAGAAGCCAAGGAGCAAATGTCAATATGGCAAGATACGTTGTATTTGGTTTGATAACACCCAAGTTCATTGGAGATTGGTCCGTTTAGCAGGTATTTTGTTGTTGATGTCAGGTACCAGTGACTGTGTCATGGGTTAAATTAGTTTTTGGTATAAGTTTATACGATACAGTTAATATCCTTAAAGCCCTTAAAATTGTCTAATACACCTTTAATAATATCTTATGACAATCAAATCATACATTATATGTAATTGCTCCATATTTATCGATATTTTTGACCTTTTTTGCACTTCATTAGAGTCTGTGTATTTGTATAAATGCAGATTACAAAGTTTTGCAAAATTCAAATATATCAATGAATGTATCATAAAATCCAGTTATAATTTGTAAGCTAATGCATTTGCAGTCTTCTAAATGCATTATTTGTGATATATTTGTTCGCGAATACAATCCAATATAGTTGCGAGAAGGATTCGACTTCCGCTCTAAACCAATATCTCAGTATACCAGTGCAATGGATACTTTATATTTTAGACCGTGCAAAACATGTAAACTTTTACCAGTCTTTATATTTACGCAACCATTTTTTGCAGTGTTTAGGTATTGGTTAACATTATTGGTTATTACATGATTATTTAGACTTTGAAGTTAGTCGCATACAACGAAGTTTGTTCCTTACAATTTTCCCGCCATTATTTTATCTTTCTTCTATATAAGGTCCCGTATGAATATTTGCAATTGCTGCTTCGTTACGTTTAACTAAAATTTTCTTGTACTTTAAATGTAACTTTGTTCTTATTAGCAAAATTCGTAATATTAATAATCGAAAAAAAAAAAAAAAAAAAAAAAAAAAAAAAAAAAAAAAAAAAAAAAAAACTATGGACATTTAGACTGTAGTATTTATCAGCTGGTACATACTAGAGTAAACAAAACACTAAGATTATGACAAAAAATATTCAGAAGACCCGACAGCATCGTTGAATATTGATTAATGTACCTGTAGGTACCAGTTTCTTGTTTGCAGCTTCTTCAAGCAGCATTAAACACAACTAGACGAGCGACTCGCACATGAATGCCATATAGTCATGCATCGGGTTTTCCATGTGGACATGATGAATCTCGTCCTTCTCAGTCTGCTCATATTTGTACTTGTTCTGGAAGCTCGTGGATTACCATTTACATTTGGTAAAAAAACTTTCAAAAGAGGTAATATTGATATCATTTTTTAAGTATTTCTCAAATTTGTACAACTCTTTTAGTAATATGGTCTTAGTTCGTCCAATGTTGTAGCTTGCAATCAAGCTCTGCAAAAATATTCTCTCCAGAAATTCTTTTTAGCGAGGAAATAAGCACTACACCTAGACAATCGAATGACGTTTTCTTTTAAAAGAAATTGCCTTCGGATTTGATGATCAAATTTATAAGTAAGATAATGTTAGCTTCATTCAAGATGTAAACATTTCACGGCGTTAAATATTGTAGAGACTTTTCAAATGTCAATTTCCCGCTTTCAAATGATTGAAAGCCTGTAATGCCATTACCGTAGCGAAAGCTGGTTTTTCTCTGGCGAAAAGAAAAAATATCGGCACCACACCCAAACTCTTAGCATGCTGATGTGTAGTGCCTAAACTTAAATAAAAACAAAACAAGAGGCCTCGCAGGGTAATTAACATTCATCTCTCATCGTATACTGAGTAAAAAGAATCACAGTTACTGTCACACATTATGATAACTCTTAATGAATTTATCAAACGATTTTAGGCTGTTATTCTCTTAGATACAAATTGTACTCTTCCGCGCAGATAATACATAATAGATAGATAACCTTTCGTTTTCTTATTTCAGTGTTTGTTAATCAAAGGTATAATTTTGAACGTTTTGAACAGTTATTTGTAGTATTAGTCATTACTCTTCCTATTTTTCAAAATTGCAGTTAGGCGAAGCGATACCATAGCAGCCAATGGTACAGGAAATAATAACGGATCAAAAATTGCAAGAGCTCCTCCAGGGATTGGTGGCACAGGAATACGTTATCCAAGTAAGTGAATGCATTGGTATAACCTGTTGGGTGTTTATTGACCAGTATATGAAGAGCTATTCTCTTTTCTCGACCAAACGGACCCATATTTCTTAAAAAGGACCTTTAGTAGTCGATTTTTATAACTTGTGTGCTAAAAAAAGACCTGCAATACGTTTAAAAGGTCTAAGGAGTAGTAGTTGTGCGGGAGGTCGTGTTTCAAACCTCAGCCGGACCAACGCTCAGGGTCTTAATAACGGAGGAGAAGGTGCTGCCATTGTAATAATATCTGCAAATGGTTAGACCTTCAAGTCTTTTCGGACAAGGACAAGGACTTAAAACCGTAGGCCATCTCCCAACCCTTCCTAACCTGCAGTAAAGTGGGGGACATAAAAGAACCATTGAATTATTCGTGTAAAAGTAGGGGATTGTCTCCCAGTTCAACAACCTATCCCAATCTGGAGGCATATAGTACTAACATACTAACAAATCACTCATGATTGTAAGCTGCACGGCTGCTACTAGCGCCTTAATATGCAGCCTGTAAAGACCTCCACTGGTTATAAATGTAAAGCGCACATGACTGATGAGAAGTTTTATAAATGCGCTATATAAAAATCTCTTTTTATTATCATTATTATTATTAAAAAAGAGATAATTTTGAGTTTAAAGCAACTGAGAAATGTTTAGAGCATTTTAATCCACTGTTATCATCAGTTGCTACTGAAGTACGGGGTAGCGAAATAGCACGTTCAACCAATTAACATAGTTTTTGCTTAAAAGCGTTTTTGCTTTCAGTAAAGCTTTGTGCATGAACATATAGGAATAGATAAACATGAGAAAGGGTGTAAATGTACAAAAATGTGTTTGAAGAATTCACTGTTTTCTACTTCTAATAATGACTCAGGAGTTAAAAAATTATACTTTTTGATACTACTTCATTTATAGTTTGCATCTATCAACTTGGTGTATCAAATAGAAACACCATTAAAGATGTTCAAATCACGGCTTCTTCCTATTATGGAACTGACCACTTGAGGCCTCAAGAAGGACGTTTATGGAATCAAAATGCATGGTGTGCAAGCAGAGACGCCAAACCAAGGACATTTATACAGATTGACTTTGGTAAGCCCATACCACAAATCATGGTGACATAAAAGCGTAACCGATTAGAGGCTTAGCACCAATCACGTGATGGTAGCCATCACAGGAGACGCACCGAAACAATAGTCTTTTTCTCCTTGAAAACCGAATTCTTTCTTATGTAAATCAGATTAGAACAGATTCAATTATTCTGCCTCCTGTCATGGCTACCATCACGTGATGGTGTGAAGGCCCTTAATCTTGGCTTTCACCTACGTCATCATGAATTTCAAAAGCGTAAATTTACAATATGATGAAATAAAAACTTCATAATCTGATAAAGCGGTGAAAACTATATACCATTGTCAGCCCGTGACACCTGATCACCTACTATGTATGGTGTATAATAAAAAAGATGTCAGGCATGTAAATATAGGTCATTACATAGAGAATAAATAATGAATACGTTGGGTGCCTAACCGAGTGATGAGAAGAAGATAGAAAAAGCTACTTTGGTGCTTTGCAACACCAAGTAAGAGCCGAAAACAGTCAGTCAGGTAACGCTAAGTCAAATGTCTCATGAAAACAAAACTGACGATACAAACAAACAAACAAACAAACAAACAAACAAACAAACAAACAAACAAACAAAGGAAAAAAAGATTAAACGAGTCCAGAGTAGCGCAGTGTAATCTTTTAAAAACATTCTATGCTGCAAAAGTCTCTCCCAAGTGACATTAATCGGCACTCTTCTCAATATTATCTTAAATGCCACAAATCTCATCGAAATAGAGTGCGATTTCTTTCGTGCTTTCATTTTAGCCACGCATCGAAGTTAATTTGGAAAAGTGTGCATTATTTTATTTTTCGAAATAAGCTAGAATACGCGATACCTTAGTGTGTTATTTTATTTTGTAGGTTATCTGAAATTGATAAGTGGAATAGTTACACAAGGTAAACCAGATACAGATGACTGGGTAACACAATATCATGTACTCTATAGCTTGGATGGGTACAAATGGCTGCACTACAAGGAAGATGGAAAAGAAAAGGTAAAACTATTTCATCTTTACTATACGATTTAGATTTAGACACGCTAGTTATGTTTAATCCATAGATTTTCATTCTAATACTTGGTTCTTAAATATCCCTTAGGAGTCTCCTTATTTCATTGGTCAATCTTTGCATTAATAGTAATAATACACGATCAATCGTTTTATCGACTTGACGCCAGTTCGTTTATTGAGCGTTAGCACTCGCATTAAGGGAGCATTAAGGGAGCATTAAGGGAGCATTAAGGGAGCATTAAGGGAGCATTAAGGGAGCATTAAGGGAGACTGGGCTTCAATGATCATTTAGAGTTGTGTTGCTTAAACGTTGGCTTTTTCTCTTATGCTGTTCTAGGTATTTAATGGAAATACTGATCGTAATACTCCAAAGTTCAACTATTTTTCTCGTCGAGTTGTTGGAAGGTTCATCAGAATCGTACCTCAGGCCTGGCGTGGATACTTAATGTGTATGCGAGTTGAAGTCTTGGGATGCTCTTTCAATCAAAGTGAGTAACAGTGTGTTGGAAAAATCATGTTAATGAAGTAAAACATGAAAGTTTTACTTTTTAACATACTCTTTGATTTTGGTCATCCTTTGCATTATATACTTCTTATTTGCTTGCTGTATTTACCACACCCATGCAAGGAGACCCAACTATCATTATTAGAAAACCATAGTAGTTGGTCTAAGTAGTTACTTATTACGCATTAGTCTGCTTATCCTATATTCATGTAACATGACTTTTCCTTTGACAGTTTAAAATAATGCCTCTTGATTTAACAACTTTTAAAATACTCGTTTTTCTTTCAATTCTTTTTACTTTACAGTTGATATTGCAGTAAACCAAACCACTGAGCAATCAAGTACAAGCTTTGATTTCTTCTCGTCAAGAGCAGTGGATGGACAAATAGATAGATACTTCAATAAAAGTACGCATCAAGTGTCTTTTTTAATGTTTAAAAAATCTATACTACTAAAAACCTAAGTTCTCGAAGGATGTTGAAAATCTACTGAGGACTAAGGCTGTGTATAGTTGGCCGAAAAGCGACGCATCGAGAACATATGAGAYATTTTGAGGACCATTTCTCATTCAAGGACATTATCAACCCTTATTCCAGTTACTAAAATAACTGTTACAATCATCACTGATGTTGGAATAATATTATTACTTAATATAGTAATAGTGAATAGTTTTATTTTTCTAAAACTAACAGCTCTTGTTTTACCAATTGTGTTTCAAACCGTTCCTCTTTTTTATTGTAGAAAATACATGCGCTGTTACGCAGTCCCAACCTGATCCGTGGTGGTACCTTGACTTGGGATTTCCTACCACCATCAAAGAACTCTACATTGCCAATCAAAAGGATGATACAGGAAGACAATTATCTGATATTGAAATAAGAATCGGCAACAGCTTAGAAGGAAAAGGAAAGTTTAACAAGAAGTGCGGCGACAAACACACAATCGAGCCTGGAGAGTTCTCGACAATCACATGCAATAATACAGGTCGATACATTCATATAAGCATTCCTGGTAACAACAAGCAACTTTCTCTTTGTGAAGTGGTCCCTTATGGAATGGGTAAGAAAAACAACATATGCTTTATTTTAATGACAATTAAATTTTATAATAATAGAAATAAACTAAATTATATTTATAACTTATTCAAAACTTGTTCATTTAATATCCTATATGATGCATATTTTTAAGTTACTTAATTATATCTATCTTGAAATCCTGATGATTTCTGCAATCTGATAGGCTCTCAGCAGTGCGATTTAACCTCTAATCACACCATTTTGATTTGTAGTGAAATTGCAGTGAACATAGCATTTGACCAATCACATGACAGAAAAAAAAAAAAAAAGCAAAAACAAAAACAAAAAAAAAACAAAACAAAACTAAACAAAAAGCACGAGAAAAATATTGAAGGGGATTTTCTACGTGAAAGTCAGTTATTTTTATTTTTCAATCCGTTTTGTCGAATTTCAGACCAAATAATATAGCATTACTTGAAAAAAAAACTATCGACTGTGATTGGCTAAGAGCAGTGCTCTTTTAAGGAAACGCTGTGCAGGAAAAAGGAAATTCCGCGCAGAAAAAAAGGTAATACAGTACAAATCTTAAACGTTTTCAAAAACGGTTTTAAAGTCAAACGGTTCTTAATTCTGCTGTTGTTAACATTACTATAAGCATCAAAACCTTATATCTTCTCGATGGTAAGTTATGATAGAGAAAATTTGAAAAAAATTGAGAATTTTGCTGTTTTTGAAAAAGGTTTTAGTTGAAGRGGGCTCATTGTTGACGCGCGCTCATAGTGTTTTGAGAGATTTTTGCTCTTTCTTCAGAAAAATAGTACATATTTTTCTTTTCATTTTTTAGAATGTGTAATATCAAAAGGAAATCATATGGTTTTCTTGTGCAATTTAGAATAAACTTTTTCTAAGAGCTCAAATGAAGCTCCTTGAAACTCCTTGAAAACCATTCGTTCAAGTTTATTCCAAATTTTACCCAAAACCATATGATTTCCTATACAAATTGCTCTCCACTCATTTCTACTGCATGCTAGTAATAATCATTTCATATCCGATATTGATGCATTTTCCTTACTTTGTATCTTTGTAAAGATCCATCCTTGGTTAACTATAGTCCTCAAGAAGCTCTAAGTTACGTAAACCAAGTAAGGGCTATTCGACTCAGAAATGCCATCCTTCTTCGACGACTGCAGCTGCAACGACTTCTTTATCTTAATTATCTAAGGCAAATGTTAAACAACACACAGAATATAAACGGTACCTATCAAACAGCCAATGSTACCAAAACGAGTAACGCATCGAGTGCAATAGGTGGTAGACTGCAAGGCCAAGGGGCTGGAGTGATGGGTCAAGGACAAGGAATGCTTGGTAGACTTCAAGGCCAAGGGGGTGGTTTGATGGGTCAAGGACAAGGGATGCTTGGTGGATTTCAAGGCCAAGGGGGTGGTCTGATGGGTCAAGGACAAGGGATGCTTGGTGGATTGCAAGGCCAAGGGGGCGGTCTGATGGGTCAAGGACAAGGGATGCTTGGTGGATTGCAAGGCAAAGYGGGTGGTCTGATGGGTCAAGGACAAGGGATGCTTGGTGGACTACAAGGCAATGGCTTGGGAGCTCTAGCTGGAGCACAAGGACAAGGAATGGGTATGGTGAACAAACTACAAGGACAAGGAATGGGTATGGTGAACAA